GCACACGTGTGGGCACCCTGGGCCGGCGGAGGGGGGCCCTGGCACTCCGGGCCCTCAGGGCGCCCGGGTCGGATGGCCGGGGAGAGGGGATTTGTTTGCACGTCCATAACCCAGTCTGTAAAGTTTCTGCTCAGTGAGCGGCTGGTTTGAGGTGTCCTTTCCCGTGAAACCTCCCCCTTGCCTTGAAATCCGTTCGAAGTACCTTGTAAAGGCAAAACAGAAAAAAAAAAAAAAAAAAAAAAAAAAAATCAGGAAAACTCTCACAAACTGAATCAAAGCAAGGAGTCCCCCTTGGTGCAGACCTCACTGGCACGCCATGGTAATGCAATGTCATCTCTCCATCTTTTCCCATAGTGAGTCAGATGGCAACCCTAGCACAGAAGATGAATCCAGTAAGGGGCAGGAGGATTTATCTCCCCATCCACTCTCCAGCTCATCTGACGGTGTTACCAGCCTCAGCCTTCCTGGCCACATGGAGCCCGTCTACATGCAGCAGCTCGGAAACACTAAAATAGCCTTGAGCTCATCTGGCGTCTTGTTGAATGGAAACCTCGTGCCTGCCAGTACCTCTCCCGTCTTTCTCAATGGTAGCTCTTTTCTTCAGGGACCCAACGGTGTCATTCTCAATGGGCTCAGCGTGGGGGCTTCACAGACTGTTACTTTAAATTCGCCCAAAACCACGTCGAGCGTTGTGAGCAATGGGGTGTCCATTACTGACATACTGTCGTCTTCATCAGAAGATGTTAAGGACTTCAAACTCCTTCAGGCTTCGGTCCCCAATGCCACGGCAGCCACCTTCGGCCCCAGCAACATCCCGGTCTCATTCCCGGGATTGATACCGAGCTCAGAGGTGAAAAGGGAAAGCGTACAAACTGCTGCTTCCCAAGATGGAGGCTCCGTAGTTACTTTTACTGCTCCTGTCCAAATAAACCAGTACGGCATTGTCCAGATCCCCAATTCAGGAACAAATGGCCAGCTGCTGAACGGAAGCATCGGGTTTTCTTCTCTGCAGCTGCCTCCTGTTTCTGTGGCAGCCTCACAAGGTAAAAGTTTTGTCTGTTACAGTAAGAGGTACAAGAAGTTGGGATCTGGCACGCTTCACGTTTTAGAAGCCGTGGTACTTTTCCTCCAAGGTGCCAGCATTGTATCTCGGCCATAGATCAAATAATACCTCTTGCCTCCCTTTCTACCGGGTTATGCTTGTGAGCAGCCTGTTACACGAGGCTGAGCTCCTCTGCTAAGAGCAGGGAAGGAGGTCTGGTATTTTACGCCCCTTTCATCTCATGCTGTTCTCCAAATTCTGTGAGACCAGTCTTCACAAATATCTGTAAATTTTACACGTTTCAGTAATTCAAAATATTCCCTATTTGCCATTGAATCCTTTTAATGAGAAGGTCCATAAAAATGAAAATTGCGGCAGCTGGAGATTGTTACCATTGTTGGTCTTGTGGTTGTTTTGGGTTTTGGTTTTTTTTTTTTTTTAACCAAAGCATTTCATAAAAATAAATTTTAAATTACTGTAGACACAACAAGACCGAGCAGTTACACTCATACATTTTCTGTCCTATAATTAAGAAAGATTAAAATGCAGGGAAACAATAGAAATATGCAACAGCTCGTAGATACAAAGCGTGAGGGTATTCGGATAAACTGCCTTCAGTCCAAGGGAAATATGTCATCGCAGGTTCACGTGCCAAGTGTGCAGGCTCCTCCCCAAGTTTGCTTTAGAGTTTGTCTTAACATACCATAGACTGAAACTTGCAGCCAGCCAGGAAGAATCCCAGGGAGCACAAGCCTAGTTCTGGATTCTTGTTTTGAAGCAGGTCAGTTATAAAGCACAACTCAACAGCTTTGTTACTCATTAGCCACTGTATCTTTGGTTATGAAAATGATTAAACTTGAATGGATCTCTCTAGTTTCAGGAGATGTGAGTACTATAATGAAAATCAAACTGTGCTCATGGCAGCCTATTTGAATTAAGCCTGTATAGGGAGTGAATTATTCTTGCTGTTAAATATGAGGAGGAACACTGAGGCTGTGCAAACACATTCTAAATGGGTGCAAAATTAAAAGATCCTAAAACTTGGCACTTGCAGTCACTGGAAGGTATTGGTACGTAGTTTAACCAAGGTGAAAAAGAGAAGGCAGTCTGAATACCACTTGTAATTACAAAAGCCATTTAATCCACATGTTCCAAGGCACAAACTGACAGCCAGCAAAGGTGAGAAAATTCTGTCGATAAAGTCGTGTGGGACTATTGTATTTGAAAGTCCTAAGATTCAGAATAAGTTCCTCTCTGAACATTTTCCCCATTGATAAAAATACCAGTTTCCACTGGAGAGTGATCCACCATATGTCCAATCTGGTGCAGAGAAAAGTCAAAATCCGTATTTGCTGCTTTGATTTCTTTTTGTTTTTCTTAACCCGAGAAGGATGGATAGCTGGCTGCCTATTCCAAGTGCAGTGTGCTGCAGGCTGTTTTAAGTAAGCTACAGTACATGATATCTTATTGCCAGGTAACTTCAGGTTGCTTCGCTTTATTCTTCTAGTTCACACAGAGGAGAGTAACTTCTTCCCAAAACATCATAGTTGATTAATGGAAATTAATAAGGAGCCATGTGAGAAATGCATTTTCAGTGCTGTTCTAAAAAAATTCAGGTGTTCCCACCTGTATCTACTTAAAATTATAATTAAACTGCTTTTGAGAAAGAGAGGTGTTTGAACTGGGACCCAGTCTTGAGAGACAGTATATCTTATTTTAATATGGAATTATTATAATGACAACTTGGATGGCATGGCCAGTAAAACCAACTTCAGGTTGTCTCTGGCTAGCTACAATATCACACAAACAAGGGTAGACAGTTGCTGGGTGGCTTTACACGGCGTGGTAGACGTGGTAGTGGTGGTGTTAGGCTTTTAGAAATGCGTGATAAAGCGAGGTGAAAGGCGGTACATCTGAATGCTTGACAGACTACCTGGTTAACCTGGTAGAAGTTACTGGGGTTTGACGCTTTGTCTGCAGGGGTTGGCTCAGGTAGGTTCTGCCCAGCAGTAGTGGCTTTCATGTGACGTGTCTCCGGTTTCCCACACACAAGCTGTAGTCTGTCACTGAACTATCTTTAATAGCTTTTCATGCTTCTATTCTTAGATAGAAATTGAGTGGTGGCAACTAGTGAACGCCAAAGCACGTTCATTTTAATCACATGGCCAGGGACTGTTTGCCCCTTAATGATTCGGTCTGAAAAATAACTGATATACCAGAAACTTTTTTTTTTTCTTTCTAGAAGCAGTTTCTATTAACAGCTTTTATTTCTTCATACCAATTTTTCTCTCACCTGTTACAAACAATGCTGTTCTGTGTTGCATGAAATATTAGCATATGCGTGTACTGCAAACATAAAGACAACCAAAATGTTTTTTTAACAAAATGCCTGCACAACTCTCTGCCGACTATAATCCGTGTTTTCCTTTCTTTTGCTTCACTTTCTCTAGGAAATGTTTCAGTAAATCCCAGCACATCTGATGGAGGAACTTTTACAACCGAGTCTTCAACAGTGCAGCAAGGAAAGGTTTTCTTCAGCCCCCTCGCTCCGAGTGCGGTCGTTTATACGGTTCCCAACTCAGGCCAGGCAGTGGGCTCTGTCAAGCAAGAAGGACTGGAAAGAAGCCTTGTGTTTTCTCAGTTGATGCCAGTCAGTCAGAACACGCAACTAAATGTAAACATGTCTTCTGAAAATATATCCAGCGGAGGACTCCAGTCCCTGGCCTCCTCGTTAGTGAATGTAACGCCCTCACATAATTTTTCCCTCACACCACCAACTCTTTTAAATGCTGCAGAACTGAACTCTGGTATCTCGGAGAGCCAGTCCATGTCATCGCCTGTGACCAGTACCTCTACCGTGATATCTATCAGCAACACTAACTATGCAACCCTTCAGAACTGTTCCCTCATTACCAGTCAAGATCTCTTGTCCATTTCTACAGCACAGCCCACGCTTGGAGAAATAGTTTCGACAAGCGGAGACCGTGTCAGCCACCCCTCTGCACAAGTACATCAAGATTTTGTCAGAGAGCACAGGTTAGTTCTGCAAGCCGTACCTGACGTCAAAGAGAATTTCTTACCTAATTCTGAGAGTAAGTCAACTGGCAGTTTAATGATGCTGGATTCGAAATCCAAGTATGTTATGAGTAACATGGTTGACACGGTTTGTGAGGAACTGGAAACGGACAAAAAAGAACTTGCCAAACTGCAGACAGTTCAGATGGATGAAGATATGCAAGACTTGTAACTTTTTTTTTCTTGCTTTCTGTTTTAATAGATAAGTCTCCTGTTGAGGCCCTAAGAAGCACCAAGTGGGTTGTGTTTGGGTTTTTTTTTTTTGTTTGGTGGGTTTTTTTCATTTAAAGAAAACAGAAGAACATTTAAATGGTCTGAATCGATGTACAGAGGAATCTTCGGCAATGGAATTAGGTTGCCACACTTGGTTTGCATGCAGTATTCTCTTTTAAGCAGATTAAAGGAGAAAGGAAACGCCAGGGCAAGTACCGAGCAACTGGGTACAGGTTTGGCTAAGAGATACTACCCCAATAATTTAAATAGACTCTCCATAGTACAACATACTCTCAACAGTAAGTATACACTCCTAACTTTAGATAGAAAACAAAAATCTTGCTCCGAAAAGGTAGAAACAATGCAGTCATTTTTGCTGTTTACTTCTAGTCCATGGGCATTGAGAAATTTTTAAGGAACTCTAGACGATACCTCACCGGCTACTTTTATGTTGTTTGAGGTTAAGAAACAAAACAAAATCATAAATAATATTGTTACTGGTGTGTTTGCTTTTTTCCAGCAGACTTGCATTCAAACCAAAATTCTCGCATCAAACATGTACAGGTTTCTAAATGCTGCAGCTAGCATTTTGTCAGTGCACCAGAAAAAGCATCATTTGAAACTCTAATTATGCAACTCAGAAGCTTTCTCTCCAGTATGAATGTAAATATTGTTTCAGTTCTTATAAAGGAGACTTTTTTAAATTAGTACAATGGATTTTATTTATGGTTTATGTTCCCTTTCACTTTAGACACAATGCATTGAAAAGGAAAACATTTTCTGGCTGTTTAATTTATTTTTATTGTTTGAGCAGGAAGTAAACGTAGTTATTTCTGACAAGGTTTTACTTTTTTGTAGTTTTTCAAGCAATAGACTGTAAAAGTAAAATGTTAATCACACTGAAACTAGAAAATGAACTCCCAGTCTCACAAACCCAGGAGGTCCCTGTCTCTACCCCCTCTGTCTTTGTGTTCAGGGGTTTTTTGTTTGTTTTGTTAGTAATTTGCGAATTAGTTGAACCTTTTTGTGTATTTTTTACAGAATTCCACGTGCCTTTCTTCCTAGTGGCCTTATCTTTGTTACTAAAGCACAGTGGCAGGAGGAATAAAAACACTGATTTGCAAATATCCGTCCTCAGGGCCAAATCCTGATGCCTTACTTCTGCAAGTAGACCCCGCTGACTTCAGTGCCCCTACTTGCATGAGTAAGAAGAGTTTTAAGTCTTTCGGTCGTCGTGGGTGACATTTACTAGCAGTGCAGAGAGCCAAAGATAGGTCCTTCCACACCACATCAGCAGGGCAGGAGGAGTCCAGAGAAGGACCATGGGCAGAGCCATCGTGCCGAGGGAAAGCTCTTGGCTCCAGCTTCAGGCAGATGAGCAGGAAAGGTTGGATGGGCAGGCCAGGGAAGGGAGCCCCATGTTTACATGGACCCATTGGCCAAAGAGCCCATGTGGGAGGGCTTCAGCTGCCGGTCAAGCAAGCAGGCCCCCATCCAGGAGTGCACTTAAACGTGTATTTATATATCCTTCCAGAATAAGCAGCGCGGGGGCTGATGGTGGGAACTGCAGCTGCCCAAAGGGCTCGTGGGAGCAGCCATGGTCTCTGCCGGGCTGGGGATGGGTCTCCTCTCCCTTCAACCCTTGGTGCTGTGCCAGGGACAGCAGAAGCAGGCGGGCTCTGGGCAGGTGGAACAGATCTTACCTTTCCTCCAGAGCAGTTTTTGTAGCATGGAAAAGCACATCCTTAAGCTTTAAAATAATAATAAGAATGCAGGTGTATAAAAATGTCATGCTGTTAATCTTTGTGGTTTTGTTTTGTTATTTTTTGATTCTAATGTGAATATATACAGTAACTAAAGCATGTGTTCATCCTCATTGGGGGCCTGGTCCAAAGCCTTTGGAAGGCAATGGGAGATGTTTTCATAAGCTTCTGTGGGCTCCGAATCAGGCTCAGGACAAAACAAGATCACTTGTAAAGGACAAAGAAGTGGAAAGGAAAGAGAATAGAGGTAGCGCATCCCAGTCTGTTTCTGTCTTGGTTGTTAACTGGTTCTGTGGAAAGCCTTTGAGGAATGGTTTGTTTTTTCTGTGTGCCGTGAGCATGGCATAGGCATCCTCGCTGTTGTTTTGCACTATATTGAATACAGCATGTTTTGCAAGGTATTCTGTGGAACCTCGAAGCTGAGCTCTCTTGGTAAGCACTGGAGTCCACGTTGCGAGCCAGAGTCTCTAGGGCTGCAGGGAAAAAGTGCAGGGGAAGGGAAGAGCAAGTGTGCAAGGTGTGCGCTTTGCAGCTGTACCAAGTCACTGATGCTCTACAAACAGAAGCAGCCCATAAGCAGTTGGCTGTCCCCACATGCTCCCAAGCAAAAAGGGTGTTTAAGGCAAGCGCTTTAAAGTGGAGATGATCACAAGCAGAAGATGGAGTTATATGTTCCCCTGGCACAACTTCCCTTGATGTTCAGGGGATCTCCGCGTGAGCAGGGAATCGGATAGTCCAGAGCTCTCCTCTCTGCTCTGCTTGTTTATCTGTTTGCTGGGCTCCAGCATGAGCAATCTGCTTCCCACCTCTTCTTTGCCCATAAACCTAAGGTGATGATGACAATAATGGTAGTTGTATCTGCTTTGCATGAATTTGTTCAATTGTTTGGAAAATTGGAAGGACCCTGTATCATTGTCGTATTAATGGAGAACTTGTGCGTGGCTCTGAAGGAGTTGCTTAACGTTTCGTCTGTGAAGCTCAGACTATATTTGGAGGCAAGCTAGAGAGTATTTCAGAGCACGCTCTCAGTTGTTGACGTGATCAGGTCCCATAACTGAAAGGACTGTGGTGTTACGCCAGTACCTGTTACTTTTTCTTTTTCTTTTTTTTTTTTTTTTAAATTTTTCCTCCTTTGCATCTGTTGTGTTACTGAGGCTCTGAATTCCATGGCTTTGCAGCACAGTCAACATGAAAACTGTGTATGTTGTTACAGTGGCGCGTATCTTGGAGTGTCTGGTACTTCTAATAGGAGACTTCCCACTCTTCAGTGGGAGTGGAGGATGTACATAAAAGCAGTGGTTTGGGACAAAGTAAGATTAATCTATTCTAGTCTTCCAGATATCGAGTAACTTATTTTATTGTTATGTTTTACTCTTTCTTTCTCCCATTGCAAATAAGTGTCATTCCCTCCAGATAACGTAGTTATAACCTCATGTTTTCTGCAGGTACATATGCACAATATAAAGACTCATTGCACGGTACAGTGTTTTTGAAATAGATATTTAAATAGTAGTTTTACTCCTACTGTAAAATAAGGGTCAGTTTTTATTATGTGGCCCTCAAGCAAGCAGGCTAACTGCTCTAAATAGACAGTACACAAAGCCCCAAAAAGTGTCTGGGGCCAGATCTTCGGCTGCTGTAAATAAGGCATTGCTCCACTGATTCCCAAACTGAGGATTTTACATGGTGTTTAGGGGATATGGATGCTCATGTCCCACACACGTGAGCGGCAGTGAGCATCCAAGCCCCACAGACAGTCCTTATTATCACATTCTGTTGTTTCAATGGAAGGTATGTCTATCTGGCATACATGTTCCTTCTCCTCCCTCCCTCTCTGTTACGGATGAAAATAAAGGATCGTTTTAACTTCACATATGTTTGTAACTTGTAAGTCCACTGGAAATCTTACAGGAAACATTGCCAAATTCTACTGCTTTTCTGGTCCCAGACTCAGCTTTGAAAAATATGCTTAAAGTTTAAGCAAATTCCTACAAAGCATGATGTTAAGAAACTCCTTGTTCTTTACTACTTTTAATTAAAGCTGCCTTTGTTTTGCCCAGAGTTTTGCAGAGAACCAGAAATATATTAAATTGAATGCTCTGTCTGGACTAATTGCAGCGTTACTCCTGTGGTCTTACCTAAAAGAACATTTCAGCCACATAAATCACGGACATCTATCGGCCAGGTCCTCGGCTGGGCTAAACTAGCACAGTTGTATTGACTCTAATGTCCTTTCACACCAGCCGAGAATATGGTCCATTCATTTCACTGGCGTTGGGTCAGGGATGGATTTGGCCCAGTATACGGTGGCAGTATGAACCAGTGCACGAGGCTGACACTCAAGACAGTTATAACTGAACAGTTGCAGTCTATCGAAGCATATACCTCTTTCTATTTACTGCTTTAACCCTGCCTGTGGATTCAGGAAGACGCATTCAGAGAGCTACTTTACCCAAAAGTAAGGCTGGAGCCATCTTTATTGTTATTACTGTCAATCTGAGATGAATGACATTAACGGACAGATTCTGACTCCAAAGCCTGCAAAATCACCTCAATAACTATTTTCAGTTAAATTAATCAGGGCAGAATTTGGGCCCGTGTGCACAGGAGATTTTCCCGTGAGTAGATTTCCAGTGTCTGTGCACTTTTCTTAGCAAGGGCAGATGAACAACCAAGAGAGTGCATCCCTTCAGCTTCGTATGAAATACCTGTGCAGGACTCCTGGCGGCACGAATCACCTAGTGCTTGTGGTCAAGAACCATCTCAAATCATAAAAAGAATAGTAATTTTATGACTCTAGAAACAAAAGTAATGACATTTTACAAGCAAGGAGACCTGAAGTCTTCCTGTATCTCCTAGCAGTTATTACCTTGAAGGATGTTTTATACCTTACTTGTATGTTTCATATAATTTAAAACTTGCTTCTTACATTTCTGAACTCAAGGAGGGGGTGAATCTTCTGACTTTCAGGATTCACATTCAGAGGATGTTTGTTCTTTTGCTGCATGTCCTGTTTGTCCAGAACTAACCAGTTATTTCTGCGATATGGGTTTATTGTGCCTTACAACAAATATGAAACTTAAGCAGAATGTACACATTACAGGAGGGAATAATCAGAAGTCTTTACTGCACTGTTAGATGATGCCGCCCCGGAGTGTGTCATCAAACATATCTGTGCTTAATTACCCAACCAAAG